AGGAATGGCCAGGACTGACCTTAGTGCCTTGTTTCTCCTTTGGGGAAGCCTAGATCCCTACTAGTTACATCACCAGCTAGCAGTAGCTATGACCGTGACCTTTTCCGTCCCACCTGCACATGGCCAGGCCGTTGCCATCCCCTTGCCTCCTCCACGGGCCGCAGCCCAGCGTCAGCCCTCCAACGGGAGCCGGTGCACGCTGCAGAACAGCCTGTCACGGCAAGCTGGGTGGGCTGCTCTAGCTGTTGGGTGACGCTGGAGCTGCAGAAGAACTCCCAGAGCTTGTGCTGTAGAGCGAGAGGCAGACTTGGAGGGCTGGGGAGGGGCAGGGAAAGGGGTAGGGGTGATGCCACAGCACCAACAGCAATATGCGGGCTCCTGATTGGAGGTGAAGACTTTGTGTCTGTCCTTTGTGACTGAGAAAGACTCTGGGTTAGCACCAGCAGGAGAGTTCTCCGGGATCCTGTGCTGACATTTATTGTTTTGGTTGGGTTCAAAGAGAATATCTCTTGTTCTTGCATCCAGGGGCTGTAGAGATCTAGATGTGCCATGTTGGGTGATTCCCTGCCCGCAGCGCTGGGTGTTGTGTTGCCTTTCCCCTGGGGTGGAGGGCATGCAAGAGCAGTCAAGAGCGGCCAGGTCCAGGGCAGGGGAGCAGGGGTGCCTCCACTTGCCAGGCCACTCAGCCTGTTCCCCTGCAGGAACGCATCTTCATGGAGAACGTGGGAGCCGTGAAGGAGCTGTGCAAACTGACAGACAACCTGGAGACCCGCATCGATGAGCTGGAGAGGTGGAGTCACAAGCTGGCCAAGCTCAAGCGGCTGGACAGCATGAAGTCAACCGTGAGCTCTGGGGCGTTCAGGTACGGGCATGCTGAGAAGCCAGAAGGGATCTCTCCTTTTGATCCCTGGCAGCTCTGAGTGAGAGCTCGGTTTGGGAAAGGGGAGATGGGCAGGAGTGGTGGGGTGTTGGCGGTTGTCATTTGCCCTGGGGTAGATTCAAGGAGCTGAGATTGGTGAGACAGGTCTGGCACACACGTACCAACCTCCTGCTCTCAGACCAGCCCCCCAAAAAAATCCCACTAGGAAATTGTCTCTGTGTTTCCCTAGAGTAAATGAGTGGCTTTCTCAGGGCAAAGAGTTTCTCCTGCTTCCAAAATCATCATGCTGACCCTGGGCAGCTTATGCAGGTTTTGGGGCAGAACTCAGGCTCCAGACCAGCACTGCACCTACCCACAACTCGAGTGACAAGGATACGTGACTGTCATGCCACGCGGTTTCCTCCCCAAGCAGAGAATCACATTTTTTGCCGGGGAATTGCTGCTCCCTGCGCAGCTCAGCTCCATTCCCCCTTTCTCCTTGCAGCCAAACAGGAAGCCAGTTCAGCCGCGCGGGAAGCGTGCCCCACAAAAAGAGGCCCCACAAAGTAGCCAGCAAGGTAAGGGACCCGCTCCCAAAGGATCGGCGCTGTGCAGATGGAGGTGGTTTGTCTGGGAATTGTCATCTGTGTGGTCCTCATGTGTTTTCTTATACATGCTGCAGAGGGAGAACCCCTGTCTGCTCCCATTTCCATGATCTTCCTTCTTGTCCATGCTTAATGAAGATGTTATCCGGCTTCTGCTCTGCAAAGGGTCAGGGCTTGCAGGGAAGCGGGACAAGAGCTTGGGATGGGCTGGGTGAGATCCGTACGTAAGGAGTTCTGAGCCGATCCGGGGTCTTTTCCCTTGCAGTCACCGTCGGTTGTCCCGGAACAGGCCTGCATCAGCCAGCGCTTCCTGCAGGGCACCATCATTGCCCTGGTCATCATCATGGCATTCAGGTGAGAAGGTCTCTCCGGCTCGCCGGTGTGGCCCACACCATCCGTGGGGTGTGCAGCGAGGGGCTGTGGCCCTACGGCTCCTTTCACGGTCTGAAATCCCTCAGCAGCAGATCAGTGCCACGGCGTGTCCCTTGCCCCGTGCCCGTCCTCAGCCCGTACCTCTCTGTGTCTTTCCAGTGTGGTGTCCATGTCCACGCTCTACGTGCTGAGCTTGCGCAGTGAAGAGGACCTTGTGGATATCGATGGGTAGGTGCTTCTGGGCTCTGCGGGAGGGATGTGGCGACTGGGGGAGTCCGAAATACAAAAAGCGGCCGCTGCGGGGTTATTGACCACGGTTCCAGTGGGTCAAGCTGTAAAGCCTACCAAACGTGTCCGCACGCCCAACTCCGATGTCAGTTAAATTATCTCGAGCAAGAAGTGAGGAACAGAGAAGAAAAAGGCAATATCCTGGTGTTTGGCTGCTCACGTACCCCCTCGTGACCGGTCTGAACGTTCTTTGGATGCCTCTTCAGCTGGACTAACAGAGCATCGTCCCACCGACTGCAGCGGGGCTGGACCAGTCTGTACTGGGCAAGGGTCCTCCTCTGCAAAGTGTCCCCAGAGCGGAGAGAGCCCCGAGGGAACGGCCCCCGCCCGGCGCACGGGCAGCCTGTGCTGGGCATTCGGTTCTGGCACACTTCACCCCTTCGGGAGCTCGCGTTACCGGATAATGAGTCTCTTTTTCTCTCTCTCTTTCCCCTGGCCTGTTTCTCTCCCTCCCGTTCTGGTTACAACCTTTCATCCAACCCATTTTCTTTCCACTTTGTCTTTAATTTTCCCGTTCTTGTCTTTTCATTTCCATTATCTTCCGTATCCTCTTTTGTCCCCCGCCATCCTCCTCATCTTCTACCGACCTGCCTTTTCTTGCCATCTCCCTTCGCTGCCCCGTAGCTCTTTTGCTGTGCCCACTGCCTGTCTCCTGGCCCTCTTTCGGCACAGGGGTCCTGGGGTTCCGGTCGCTCTATGTCCACGGTATGTTACTGTTTCATTATACTGTTATTTAATTGCTGCATCGCTACTCTCAATTCCTCCTCTTCCATCTGCAGCCCACAAGACCAAGAATCTTAAGCAAAATTGAAAGCAAAAAAGAGATATGAATATACTTCAGCAAGTGGGACTCCAGGAGGAAAGATTATGGACCCTGTCAGGAAGGGGAAATGAGGATTAGGAGATTGAAAAACCAATTAATCAAAGGCTAAATAAAGAAATTACATACTATGGGTAGAGCAGGAGCAGACAGTTTGAAAGGAGTGGAGGGAGTGTGTAAAACTGATGAAGGCTTTGAGGAATTAACCAAAAAGCTGTTCCGACCTTCTCTTTATGTGAGTAACTTTATTGTGGAGGGTCGCTCTCAAGTACAGGACAGGAAAAAAAACCCAAACCTAAATTATTTCTTTTTATGAGCCATCGCCACTGGGAATGTTCGGAAAGGTACTGACACAGGGAAAGCTGGCTGAGTTACGCGTTAGGTGCAGACCTGCAAAGCCCCTCGGTTAACGGGATCTGCGGGGCTGCTGCACGATCCTTCCCTTCCCATCGGCACCCTTTGAACGAAACACCGCGTCAAGAGCGGGACAATTAATTTGTTCTTTCAAGAACTCCACATCAAAGTGATTCGCAGGTAGCTATTAAAGAAGTAATTGCTTGTGGGATGCAAGGAAAAGCCACGCATGGGAAGTGTTGAGGAACGCGAGGGATAGAAGGTTTTTGGCTGGGATGAAGGTGAGCTCCAGAGGCTGGTGCCCACATTCCCTCCAGGAGACCGGCCTTGCGTCTTCCTTCACCAGAAAAAGAAACACGCATAATAAGATAAGCCTTGCAGGTGACAAAGTGGTATTTTGATTTCTCTAAACGACCGAAAGCTCCGTTTATCTTTGAGAAACCTTGAGCAGCGCTAAGGGGACAGGCAAGACAAAGGTACAGGACAAGCAAAATGTGGGCTGGATAAAACTGAACTGCTCCTCCGCCTGGGCAGGCTCTGGACAAGTAAAATCTTGAATATCTTTGTTAGGAGCTCGGTAAAAGAAATTCTGCTTGGTGGGCAGCTACAGTGCGTGAAGGTGAGAGCCTTGGTTTATCCCATACCTCCGTAGGCAGCAGCTGGTGCCCAGAAGTGGTGTTGCTTTGGGCTTCAGTGCAGACGTGGGAGAAAACCAGCACCCGGCAGCGGTTCCTCCCCTTTCGCATCTGCCTTTCCTTCGGGAGATGCCTGCGGTGTCCTCAGCTCAGACCTTAGTAGCTTCAGTGAAACAACTGAAATTACGTGGGATGAATCTGGGTGGGATCATGTGTGTTTCTGGAAAAACAAGGTGAGGAATGATCTGGCTCCAAGAGATAAAGGGCACCTCCCTTGGGGAATGGGGAGTGCTTGGAGCCCGTTATGGGACCAGAGCACATAAATCCACCGCAGAGATCACTGTTGGAAATAAATCCACTGTGTACACCCTGTTCCACAGTGAGCACCGAGGGAGCGTTGCCGGTGTCCTCTGAACCAGCTGGGACACCCCTGCCAGACGTGGGACCGCCGCGCGATCTGCTGTGGCATTTCCTAGCTCTCCTTGCTGTCTTCACGGCTTGCGTGCCTCTCTCCTGCCTTTCCTTTTCCAGATCACTCCAGCCTTTGCTCCCCCTCACCCTTGCGCTCTCCACGTCTGCTCTCGCTCCGTGTGCCTGGTCCCATCGCCCCACTCGCTGCTGCAGCCGCTTCTCTCTTCACGTACAAGTGACGCAGTTGTACCCTGCGGGAGAGGTTCTCACCCGTGTTTTCCTGCGTTTCAGGTCAAGCCAGAACTTTGATAAAACGCAGATGGTGCGATCCACAGCTGCGTCGGACGGAGCCAGTGGCGGGACCCCCGCGCACCACGGTAGGTCGCGGCGTGGCAGAGGGCCTGGCAGACGTGTACGATGGTGGGTTGTGGTGCAGGGTGATGAACGTGGCCGCTCCTCTGTGTCAGGGGCTTGCTGGCAATGTGCTGTCTCCGTGTTGGGAGGTCCTGGGGCTCTCGTTCTGTGGAAGGGATGCCGGGGGCACTTGGGCTCCTGTTAGATGCCTCTCCCCTTGACTTACTCCACGTGTTCCTGCTGTTTGCCCTGCAGTCACAGAGGACACGCATGACTTAGTCTTGGGCTCACCAGGTCACAGCGTGCTAGCCTGCTTCAGCCCACCGTGTTTCTCCACGTGCTGTTCTGCTGCTCCCACCAACGTCTCCTCGGTCGCCCTCTCTGAGACCAGCCCCACTCATGCTGCTAACCGGACAGGTAAGTACCAGCCCAGGCACCCAGGAGGTGCTGGAACAACGCCGAGGTGTGTCTGTCCCACCATTGCATCGCCTCAGATCCCCAGCCCCCCCCTCACCTCCTGTCCTTCCTCTGCACGTTATGAAAAGGAGGCGCAGCCTGTCCTTCAAAATGTGCCCGGTTTCCTCCGCACCCGCTGTCCGATTTGAGACCCGCTCCTGATTCAGACACCTGTGATCGTGCTGCCAGGGGTCACTGGGGGCTGGAAGGTCTTTGGAGCTGCCTGCTTTGCCAGCACAAATCACGAGAGGCTACGCCGGGCTGGCCAGCGTGCCCGAGCAGCGGTACCTTGCAGTCTGACCTCATTCCTCTGTTTGCTCCGAGCAGGGCTCTGGCAGGCCGGGAGGCGTGCTGCCCCTTGGTTGCCCAAGCAGGGCTTTTGCAAGCTCGCTTGCTCCATCATCGTCGCTGTTGCAGGAGGAACAGCACCTCGGGCAGTCACCGCAGAGCCCTAACGCCCCCGGAGTCGTGCCTTAACCTTGCCTTAAACCCCGAGCACAGGGCTGCGCCCCCACTTTGTCCCCGCAGCCTGCTCTAGCTTCCCTGTGCTGCGAGGATCCTGCCAGCCCCTTCAGGCACAGAGGCTGGGAAGCCTCAGCGGCTCACAGGGGGGAATTGGGGAGGTGACGCGGGGACAGGACGAAGCCAGAGCTGGTGGCTGGTCTCTCTGCACTGGCCTTGGAGGTCGGGAGTGCTGCCAGCCTCCCTCTGCCTCTCAGCATCACCTTTCTCTCCCTTTTCTTCCCAGACCAAAGTCAGACCTCACTCCTGCCAGTGACAAATATCAAAGCCAAATCCAGGGGCATCACTGGGAAAGCGACCTCCTACACCAAGTGGCCAAAGACACCTGACAGGTCTCAGAGCTTCGGCAGCCCCAATGCCAGCCCCTCCTCCCCCTTCACCCACATCCAGGGCAAATCCAAGTACATCTCCAACCTCTCGCTCTCCCGCAGCAACTCCCCGCTGGGGCAAGCCCGGCAGCAGCGCAGCGTCAAGCAGCCGGTGAGCGAGCGGCCCCGCACGGAGGATCCCGACACGGATGGTAGGTGAACCCTTATCTCCTTCCCTCCCTGCAGCGGCACCGTGACCCTGGGTTCTCTCCTGGGGTATCCTCAACCAGCCGGGTCTCGTCTGTCCCGCACAGCTCTCGCTCTGTCCCCATCCTGCAGCTTGTTTGGCCCCCAGCTCTCCCAGTACAGCCAGATTCAGCCTCCAGCCCTGCCTTTCCTCCCTCGTGCTGCCCCGCGCTTTCTGGCCGTATTAGCCAGTTGCTAGTTCCCTTCTGAGGCTGCTGTACCGGCATCTCCGTTCTTACCCCCCCATCTCGGCTTGCTCAGCCATTTCTAAGTGAGCTCTAGAGGAGGAAATGCACGGATTCAGTCAGGCTGGCAGCACAGAGAGAGGAGTGTCGATGACCGGCCATTGGCACGGTCTGGGGCACCCCTTCTTCTGGCTCTCCGTGCCTGGACATGGTGTCAGCGCAGTCCTGCAGCAATCTGACCCCCTCTCTGTTGGCAGGGTGATGAGGAAAGGTGGTCTCAGTGCCAGGCATCCCTTCTAGCCCATCTCACTCAGGGTACCCCAGCTGCCATCCCTTTGCTGTTCCTAAATAACCTGTTCTCCCACCCGCAGGGCCAAGCCCAGCGCTGTATTCCATCCGGATCGTGGAGATCAATATGGCCATCCAGTCCCAGTACTGCGCGGCCGCCGACGCGTGCAGGTGAGCGAGGCAACGCCGGCTGCAGCACTTCGGTGGCGGCAGCACTGTGGGAGCTCCGGGGGCAGCGGCAGATGGGCAGCTCCTGGAGCTTTGGGCAGCTTTCTGCCATCACCCCAAGGCAGCGCGTGCTGCTCCTTGGGTAGAGGAGCTGAGGCTCTGAGTGCAGGAAGATTGCGTTTGGTGATGAGCTCATCCTCGGGAACTAGCCTGGGAAGCCCTCCCCTCCGAAGTCTCAGCCCAACAGAGACTTTGGGTCGTGTCCCGGCCATCTCACAGCCGCCTGAAATGCTGTGCTGAGGTCTAACGCTCGGTCTGTGTCCCTAGGACTGGAAACTTCACCTACCGCATCCCCGTCAACCAGCTCACAGCAGTTAACACCAACCTGACCCTGGAGATGAAGTGAGTGGGCAGGGTTCATCTCTGAGGTGTTTCGGTACCCCTGAAGTCGGCTGGATACTGTGCCACACGGCTGCGGTGTCTCCTGCCTGACCTGGGGAAGAGACGGCGGAGGCTGCTCCCGTCCGGGGTCTTACCGTGTCTTGTCTCCCCAGCTCCTCCTCCGCTGTGTCCATCTCCCTTTGTGGCCTTGTCTCCAGCGACCCTTGCCAGGATGCCGCGAGCACGAACAGCTCCACCGACGCCACAGACGCGCAGGTAGGGAGGGAGGGTACGGCTCACAAAATCCATACACCCAAAGTGTCATCCCAGCACAACGCCGAGCTCTACAGAAGGGACTACGGCAGCCTGGAGGGCAGCGCAGGAGTTGCTGGAGGGAATTCACGCCCAGACGTAGCCGTACTCTGCACTGGCTAACGTCAGTGACCCTCAGACATCCCTGCCACCCCAGCAGGGAGGGGTCTGTAAACCTGACGCGTGTGATCGCTCCTATGAAATCATCCCACCCGACCCCTCCGCGTGAGCCCCGGGACTGTGGGGAAAGGACCAGGCTGTCAGCTGCCCCGAGGCGGCCTCGTGACGTCCCTTCGGGGGGGTTTTGCAGGTCTGCGTGCGCGGAGGCTCTTCTCACCCCTGAGTGCCTCCTTGCCCCTCTCCCTTGCTGACGCTGGCGAGGTTGCTCCTCCACTCGACAGCGCAGAGTTGTGTGGTTCCTTGCCGGAGTCCTGGAGAACATCATCCCCTGGGACAACATCCCCTGATGCTCAGCCCCGATCTCATCCCAGCTATTCCCTTTTTCCTCCCCAGGAAACAACGCACCGTTGGCCTCTGGTGATGATGTCTTTCCAGGAGTTTACCTACCACTTCAGAGTAGCACAGCCAGTGAGTACCAGCAGCTCCTTCGTCCTTGCCCTTGTCCGGGGGTGAGCAAAAGGAGAGCCATGGGACCACGGCAGGTTTAGCGGCCACGTTGTGCAGAGAGCCTTCCACAGCCCTCTCCGTCCTGGCTGTTGCCTCCCCCAGTTACTTGGGTAGCGGGGGTATGATTTTTCCCTGCCCCAGCACATATTTCATGCACATTCCCCCCCTCAGAGCATTCGTCCTGCCCGTCTGTAAGCTCTTTTTCTCGCTCTCTCGCAGGGCCGAGCCAACTGCAGCACTGCTCCCGAGCAGATGGGACACCTTTTCACTGACTATTATTTTCAGTTTTACTGGCTCTGTGAGTGAGTCCTGGCAGCACCAGTGCCCTCTGGTTGGAGAGAGGAGGTGGACTGGTGACACTGGGGAGACTCCTGTACACCTTCCTCCGCTTTTTTTTCCCAGCCCCACCTTACCCCCGTCTCCGGCGTGGGGCTGGTTTGGTTGTGGCTGGTGACGCAGGCACTGAAGCCCAGCACACGCAGAACATCGGACCTAAGCCGCAGGAACACGACCAGCCCTGTGGTACCTCCTGGCTTCACCTCTCGCCGACTCCCACCATCCCACGCCGCCCCAAACGTCTCTCTGCTTCCCTTATGGGGACGTTTGCGTCCTCCGCCGCTTCTCCCTCCCCTCGCAACACTGGATTTTAAAACATTACACCGGACTGAAGGTGGACGGGTCTGCCACATCCCAGAGCGCGGATGGGTGCTCCATCCCATACTGGCCCAGTGGTCCCGGACGCGCCACATCGGTTCTTCACAACACTGGAAATGCTCAACACTGGAGCCTTTTCCAAGAGCGAAACGCTGGAGTTTGGCCTGGAAAGGAAGGCTGTGCCTGGACGTACTGGAAGTCGTACACTGGAGTTGCTGTTCCTTCTAGTTGGCCCAGGGCCATCCCCCGCAGCCCCACTCCACAGACACCCCCCCGCCCCGGAGACCCCCAGGACCCGCAAACGGACTGTCCTCTGTGGACAACAAGAGAAGGTGCAGCTTCAACGTTAGCCCTGTCTGTCCCCCTCCTCGCCGTACTCTTAACTTTCACCGTATCCATGTCTGGATGGATGAACTCAAGAACCCCACTAAAGCTGCTGCTGAGGCTGTGCCCAGGCCAGACCATGCGTGGGGACACTTGCCATCAACCCATGGGAGAAAAATTACCGTGAGTCACCTGCATGAAGTGTCGTGGGACCCGTATTGGGGGTTTTGGTTTGTTTTTTTTGTTTTGTTTTGGTTTTTTTTCATTTGGCAGCAGCGTGTGTGGAGCTGCCTGGTCGGCTCTCAAGTCAACGCAGCCACCTCTGCCCAGATGTGCCACAGAAACCGCTGGCAAAGCCCGGTGCGCCCTGCAGAGGAAGGCTGGGTCGCCGGGGACGCGTGACGTGGCTTCACCGCACCCCCCGGCTAACGGATCTCTGCCAGGCACCGGAGAGGCTGGTGTCTGCCACGAAAAGGGGGAAATGGCAGCGACTGTGGGCTCTGGCTGTCACTGTTCACGGAAAGCAGTTATGTTGAGTGTATTTTGGGTATCTTACTGTTACAAGATCTTAACTTGCTAAACTACTGAATTTTTATTTTTTTTTTAAGCTGTATAAAAATGGGTCTCTTAATTCTGTCCCTGTTGAGCTACGTGTGTCTCACATAGGAAACCAAAGGGGGGGTCACTGCTGAGCTCCACGGGAAAGCTCGGCTGCTACGGCGGTGCTGGGACACGTCTGACCAGCGCACGCATCCTCCTCCCCGTCCTGCTCCGGCACCCCTTGCTAAAGGAGGAGACGTCCGCGTTCCTGGAGGCCGAGCCACCACCAGGTTCTTACGTCCGAGACGCGTTTCTCTAAAGAAACAGCAGCCACCGCTGGGGAAGGGCGGTGAGGGGGAAACGCCGCTCAGCAGACCTGAAGCGCGCTCTAAAGCCGGCTTCAGAGACGAGCTCACCTTACCCCTTGCGGCCCCGGCACCGGGCGTAGGCAACTCCAACCAAATCGGCTTTGGGAAGCTGTGTCAGGCTCCGGCTGCTGCGTTTTGTTGCCTTCGGCAAGGACAGATGCAGCAATCCCTTTGCCAGCTGCGAGCCGTGTCGTTACCAGCGCTGGGGAGCGCGTGGCTGGCGCTGCTGCTCCGGAGAAACAAGCTGCAAAGAGGTTTCGGGGTTTTTAATTCAGATAGAGAAGCGGTTCCTGCGCGCATCTCGTGGGACCCTACGCGGCCTTCCCCCCACCAGTCTGGGGAGCAGTTTTTATCTCCTGTCACCCATCTCAGAACTTCTTTCTGAGCCTGTCCCAACAAAGCAGCCGTAGCCCTGCGATTCCTGGCGACATCGCTAGCAGTCGGCGTCTCTGCCACCAAAGGACCCGGCTTTATTATTTGCAGGGTGGTTTCAAGGTCAAGTCTTCATTCCTACCGTATGCCTACAGGCAGCAAACGCTGAGCTATACGTTGGTGACACTCTCCAGTTCCTAGAAGCCTGGGCAGGCAGGAACCGGTGGGTGAGCTGGGGACTGCTGGGCAGCCAAGCAGGAGCGAAGCTGGGGACTACCCGACTTTGGGGAGCTCAGCGGGAAAGCAAGAGGTCCCAAGGCTTGGGAGCGCCTGCGCACAAACAGGTCAGCTCCATGCTCACCAGGATTCTCTGCTTCTGCCTGCAGTTGGGAAGGAAACCTTCCAACGTAGCTCTCTGGAGAGGCTGCTCAGCGTTCTACCTTCCACCTGCCCTCAGGTTTTGGTTTTTTTTTGCTTGGCCTTAAACTGGGAAGTTACTTTTTTTTGGCAGCTTTTATTCTCCACTTGGCAATCAGTGGCCTGGTCTGGCAAGTCCTTACCCAGGTGAGTGATGCCACGTGCTCTTCGACGTCTGCGCAGCCGAGACGTAGCCTTCTCAGACCTTCTCTTTTCCCTTGGATTGCCGAGCTGGGCTGAATGCCTGTGCGCTCGTTTAGCGCTTGAAGAGGTAACGGGCGATTTTGTGAGGTCAGAGCTGACAGCACTGCCTGCATCACCACCGCCAATCCACCCCCTCGCTGCCCATCCCGGCTGAGCTCAGCCGAGACCCACGAGTACATCTCGCCCCGCTGCGGAGAAAAACCGTTCCTGGAGGGGAAGGAATCAATCAATCACCAGAATCGTGCTAGAAGTGGTGGCCCAAGATGAGCTGGAGTCTCTCGGGCGTCCCCGCGACACTTAGCCAGGGGGTTTACGGCGCCCCTCGCAACCCAAGTGCCTAAGGGCTACGGAAGCATCTCTAGTGCCTTTTTTCTGCTGACAGCACCGCATGAGGGAACGGTGGTTTCCCACCCGTGTGTAAAATGCCGTGTGCCTCAAAAAACAACAAAAAAAACAAAACAAAAAACCACCCCCAAAACGGTGGCCAGTTAGCTGAGATGAGGCAACATCTTAAAAGTGCAACGGCCAGCCCTACCCACCTACAGCTGTTTCGCAGCAGAGCAGCGCCGGGCTGACAGCAATCCCTGGTCTCAAAAGAGGAGAGGGAGTCAGAATGCATTTTTTTTATTTTTTTTTTTAGCGCCTTATAGCGCAAATAGCATCTTTTGTTTTAATGTGTATCACAAAGCGTACGCCAGTTCCACCAGCCGCTGCGCAGCAAGGCAGAAACGAGCTCAAAAAGGGGATTGTAATTTTGTTAAAGGGTCACGGGATTGCCTCTAAGCCCGCAGAAACGGCTGTTTGCATAGAGTCCCCCGCCCCAAGGTGTCTCTGCCCTAACTGAAGATGTGTTCCCCATCCCCAATCAGTAACAAGAGAGTTAACAATCAGGCCTTTCCCTGCACGGGACGGAGGGAGCTCTGAGCCGACGTCTCCAGCCGTACATTTTGGGGGAAAAAATCCTCTCTTTCCGCTGGAAACTAAACGCTTCATCTCTCTAGACATTCTTAGCAGGAAGGAAGACAAGTGTGGAAACGAGGCCGCTTGTCAAAGTTTGGCTGTTTCGGAGTTTGTTTCTAAAGCAAATTCACAAACATTCTGTCCTACTGTTAGAGCTTAAAGCCTGTAAATAGAGACTATGCCATCACTGCAAGAATTAAGAAAAAAGAAAAAAAAAAAAAAGCAAAAGTAAAGCACTAATTTGTTTGGTTTAAATGTTGCTGTCACAGCTTTAATCACTGTATATTGCCAGCAAGTTTGTAGAGTTGCATTCTTAGCAGGTATTATTGATTATCGGTTTTTATTTGTGGGGAACAAACGTGGTTTCCCTCCTTTCTTTCTGATTTATATTTATATTTTGCTGAATTTGAGTGCTGAGTCTCCAGATTCCCCACTTTTTTTTTGTTTGTTTGTTCGTTTGGCTTATTTAGACTTTGTTTTATGCTGGAGGTAAATATGCCCATATAAATAAATATATAAATACTGCTTTGTATCCAAGGACGGCTCCTCGCGCATTCCTCCCTTGCTATGAAATACCAACAGTCTTTCAGTTCAGTAGTTAGTTAGAAAACTGCTTCCCACAAGACAGAAGTATTGCTAATTAACAATGGTGGTGGTAATTAAGGCGAGTTTCCAGACACATCCAGTCAGGGTGAGAACATCCCCAGCCTCTGGCTGCTCCCTGCTCTGCACTGTGCTTTTCCACGGGTTATCAAAAAGAGCTCTCGTCGCTCAGGGCCAGATCCGGAGGCATGCAAGAGCATCCGCAGGGGGAAAGCTTCCTTCCCAAGCAAGAAATTAGGGCTTTAAATCTCTAAGCTACCTGCTGAATTTCTTTGAAATCTAATTGCTTTGAAAGCTGGGCTACAAATCCAAAGCTACCTATAAAATTAGTTAAGCATGCTGGAAATGAACTCCTCTTTTTTTAGAGACAAGGCAGTTAATTCACTATTTAATTGAAGGGCACATCCAGCTACAAGATTGTCCTGTCCTGTCCTGTCCTTCTCAACCTCTCAACCATCAGCTTCGCGAGGGGCCGCGAGCGCTGCCGAGGCACAAAGCTGCTGGCTCAGGATGAGAACTGGCCTTGCAGAAAGAGGGCGAGGGGACGCGATGGTACCGAAGGTCGAGCGATATAAAAGCAGGCTTAGGAAGAAGGAGGAAGCAGTTATTTTCTAGAGTCTAGCTGTGCTAGGGCACAAAGAGGCACTGGAACGCTTCTGGGCATACACAGCCATGCATATGCAAAATGTGAGGCTCATCCCAAGGTATGTGGATCTTGTGCCGATATCAAACTGTTTTGGAAATGCCAGGTAAAAAAAACCCCCAACTATCTAAAAGATAAACCATGAGTCCAAAGGCAGGTGCATCACGGAGCCAGCTTTATTCAGGTTTGGTTTGTTGTGCTGGCAGAAGTCACTTGACAGGAGCACAGTCCACACCTGATACGGGCTTTGTTGTTGAAGTATAAAAGAAATACAAAAAGAGGTTCTGCAGGGCTTCCCACCTAGAACCAAACAAGAGATGGAGGAGGTCAGCGAGACAACGTTCCCCAGGGCCGGACTCTGCTGCTCCTAAAGCCACAGAGCAAAGGACAGCACCCAGCACACACAATTCCCACCGTCTCGAACGGGGATGGACCCCAGTTCCGCCCACGGTTA